CTATCTATCTATCTATCTATCTATCTATCTATCTATCTATCTATCTATCTATCTATCTATCTATCTACGAGAGACTAACGGATGACACGCGCGTAGCGTTATGAGGTTACGCTGGCCCACTCGACAAAGAGGTTCGTGCCGCACTCCATCTCGACTTGGGCCACATTCAAGTGGGAAAGCATCTCGTGCAGCGCCGATTGGAGGTCGTCCTTGGACATCGCACGTGCGTCCCAGTCGGCGCCACGCGCGATGTGCGTGCGCAGCTGCGTCAGCGGCACCGCAAATGACGTCGAGAGCGACGACGACGGCTGGTAAAAGTCGACGCGGAGAGGCGCGTCGGGCGTTGCACTCTGCGTGTCGTAGACGCCGAGCAGCACGCGCTGGCCACCGACTGTTCGAATCGCCTTGAGCAAGCACGGCGCTTTGCGCGTCTTGTCGGTGCCGACCTCGTCGGCGGCTACCATTCGAATGAGTGCCTTCTCATACGCAGCAGACGAACCGCCGAGGCGGCTGGACGGCGTGATCACTTCCTTGACATAGAGCCGGTAAATCTCGTCGCCATTCACCTCGACGTCCAAGAGGTCGACGACATGCGCGGCCAAGTTCTGCGCCTCCGCTTCGCGCATTAGGTGCACCTAGCGTCAATACGAATGTTGAGCAAGACCATAAGGTCGAGGGAGCGTACGTCAGCTCCAATGGCCTCGCGCAGCGCAGCGCCGTTGATCCACATGGAGAGTTGCTTGCTGCTGGCGGCAATGTACCCGTCGACACGCAGTGCCAGCGCCGCGTCTCGTTTGGCATTGGTCGGTGTGACGTCAAAGACGGTGCAAATGACTGCGTGCTGGCGCAGGTGCTTGACTTGCGAAAGGAGTTTGATGCCTCGCGCGTCAGCTACGATAACGTCATATCGGTCCTACGATGAAGGAGATGTCATATTGCATTGTCTTACCGAGCTCAATGAGGTGGCCGTCTTGGGCAAACGCATCGGCGTCCATGGCCGCATTCACGGGCGTCGCCTTGCGGTGCGTAAACATCCGTGAACGGACCAACACGACGCGCAGTGCGTCATCAGAGAGCGTGCGGTCGAGGCGGTGCATGACAATGTGGCGGAGCAACTCGGGCACGGTGCCCGAGCCAACAAGGTCCTGGGCGTCGGGCCCGGCGACCTAACCCGCATCCGTTGGTATGTATTCCAACATAACAAACATGACGGACCTCGCGCAGGTCGTGGAGGCCATCGACATGCGCTTCGCAGCTCGTGCTCGAGTCGGGGTGGTAAAACGACAGCGCCATGTCAAACCAGTCGGCCTCGCGAAGGATATCGGGCAGCCCTACACCATTCGACATGATTCCAAAGTCTACCTTCGGGGCAGAAGGGTGTACCTGGCTTGTTAGGCTCGCGCACTGGCTTGAGGTACGCTGTCATAGTCACATCGACGCGCAACAGCGTGCCGTTGCACCGGTATGAGCTCGAGTGCACGCGGAGTGGCGCGTCGTACACCAGCACGAGTGGTTCGCTTGGCGCGTCCAGCATTCGCACCGTGTTTTGCAGCAAATCAACGTCGATAGATGCGGCGTCCCGCGGGCGGGTATCGATGACGGGCGCCGATGCCACTGCCGCGGAGGCTGAGGTGCTGGGTACCGGTCGTATCTGCACAGAGAACTCGACAAAGCCGGACGGCGATGTGAGCCGCACGACGCACTCGTCAGTGTCGTAGGCACAGAGCCCGAGGAGTGCCAAGATGACGCGTCGGCGATCGATGGCCGAGGTACTGGGCCACACGAGCGAGATGGCCGACTGGATCTGCGCATCGGCGAGACGCAGTTCATGCGTCGTGCTCGTGATGGGGAAGTAAATGTGGAGCGAGAGGCCGTACACGGAGGCCATGGCGCAGAGCTTGGCGCTCACGATAACCTTGATCCCAGGCTTGCGCGCCAACTAGGGAAAGATTTGGGATGTGATTACGGCGACCATATTCATGTAGTACCTTGGAGTGGTCCGGGTGCAAGGGCAGGTAAAAACCGGTGGTCGTCAATTCCAAATCTAGGGCCAAGGCGCCGTCGACTGTCATGACAAGTTGCGACAAAATGTGTTGCAGCCAAAGCGGTGAGAGCGTCGACACCACGCGTCGCGGTGACAGCAGCAGCTCGTGGCGCTCCCGGGACGAGACGAGCACCGACCGTTTGATGCAGGCTTCGGGGCGGTAGGCCTCAATGCGCAGCGTCTCCGTCATCGAAATGTCAAACACAGAGACGACCCAGCGCAGCTAGGGACACTGTAATACGACCATTGATTGGATAGCCTCTGACATACCGCTTGAGGACGCAGGTGCATTGTGCTACGAAGGAGGAGGCGCCCCGATCCACCGTGCTTGCGAATGCGAACGCGCAAGTCGTGGGGCGTCGTGACAATGTTGCGAGGGACGCGGCGGCTGACGTGGTGGAGCACGGGCTTGGAGAGCTCGGCCGCTTCAATGTGCACGCGGTCGAGGACGTACTGGTACAACGCCTGGCACCAATACGACGTTCGATCCCACCATTTTGAGATATGACAAAGTACCTGGACGTTCATGTCTTGATACGCCTGCAGCTCGAGCGGGTCGGACGCATCGAGCTTGAGCTGCTGCAGAAACGCTTCGTCAACGTCCAGCGTCCATGCGAGTCGCCCGGCACTCCACACATCGTGGACAAAGACGCCCAAGCGCACGTGGCCGAGCGCAATCTCCGAGACGACAATCTAGAGTCGGTCAAACCTAAGTTATATACAGTGCAGATAGCACGCACCGAGGCAAAGTGGCCGTGAATGTGCCGGCCGACCTTGGTCAACCGCACGGCGTGGGGCCGGAGCTCGACGATTGGCTGCATGTTGATGCCCTTGGGCTTGGCGAGCGTCGTGAAGCCCACGACTCGCTGGTAGAGCTCCAATGGCGTCGACGGCGCTTGCTTGTTTTGGGCGGCTTCGAACGAGTTGGGCGCCAAGAGCGTATTCATCTAAGCACCCAAATCTCGTCACAGGGACGATGATACACTCATACAAAGGTCTCGGGGATCTCGGTGCGAAGCAAGTGCGACGTGAGCGGGTCGTACACGGTCACGTAGACGCGATGGCAGTCGCGGTAGAGCGACACCACGTGGTACCTAGAGCCCCATCATCGGATCGTTGATAAATTGATACGATGTGTACCGGTCGCCGATCTTGACCGACTGCCGGTGCACGCGCACGTCTTGCAGAATCGCGCTCGTGATCTGCGCCATCGCGTCTTTATACGACCAGTCGTCTGCGCATGCTCGCCTTGTATACTTCATCAAGCAGTCGGAAACGCACCTTCGTCCACCGGGTCGGTGATCGTAATGACGTTGCTAAAGAGGCCTGGAATCGGCTTGGTGCGCGTCACGACCTCGGCCGCGCCCCCGCGGCTCTGGATCGCATGCGCGTAGCGCGTCACAGCGCGAACAAAGAGCGCGAGGCGGAAGAGGAGGGTGCCCGTCGAGTCATTATCAACGGGCCACTCGGCCAAGTCGAGGTACCTACGCATTCAATTAGCGCTGGGATTGGTTGTACGAAGCGGACTCGCGCAGCACGGCAACGTTTTCATAAGGAATGTACTGGACGTCGAGGGCTTGCAGCATCGCAGTAAAGACAGCAGGTGCACTCAGTAGGCGCCGGCTCAAACGCCTGCACATGGCAAAGATGCGTCAACGGACAACGAGACTGCACCGTACCAGGTGACGGTCGATGTCGTGTTGGCGGGCGACACGAACCGCTGCGACGGTGTGAGCAAGATGAGCGTCGCTTCCATCACGAGCACGAGCGCGACGGGCGGACAATCCATCGTGCTCATCGTGACCATCTCTTTGTCCAGTCGACCGCTCGTGAGCGTGTGCAGGCCGTCGGCTGCCAGCTGCTATCGCATGAGCGACGGCGCTACCCGATTCGCGCGTACCTGGATCTCGTGTTTGGCGTCGCCATCGACCATGACGGACGCGTCCAGCTCGGAGACACCGTACGTGCCGGCGGCATAGCCCAAGCCAGCGCGGTTGGCGAGCGACCCTTGCAGCAAGATCGAGAGTGGTGTTGGGCGAAGCGCCCGCGACACGATGGCAAACTGGCCCAAGAAAATGCGCTGCTGCCCGATGCTGAGCCCAATGTCCGCGTCCAAGAGCACACTAGTTGCAAATCTCAGCAGCATATACCGAGAACACGGTACCTGTAGCCAGCATCGAAAGCGGGCTGCATCGTCGCGAGCGCTATCGGGTCTTGGCTGTTGATGCGCAAAAAGAGGCCCGGAAACGCCGCGTTGATGTGCGCGACAAGGACGTCCTTGGCGTGGCCGGGCAACTCGCGCGAGAGCACGAGCAATATCGGTCGTGTGCGCTTGGGGCAGTCTTGGATGAGAGCCAATGGCACAAACTGGCGTTCGCTGTGGTAGTCTTCGAGCGCACACTACCACGCACGCCTCAGTGAGCCCCTTGACGTGAAAGATCTACCTTGGCATCTTCGGCGCGGTCGTCGGCTTCGTACTGCGATAGATCGAGCGTGCAGACTGGCGTCGCCGACAGAAACGTGCTCTGCACCCGCTGGACGACGTCGAGGTGCGTGATCCATTCCAGTAGGAGCGTCGACGGCCGCTCCATCGCGCCTATAATCCAAGCGTGTAAGCATACGCGGTATCGTCGCAGTGCATCGAGTGGACCTAATGCCGCAGACGCCAGGTGTGCAATGCCAAAGTTGACGTCGTTCTTGTACGCTTCCAGCAGTGTGCGTGTCTCGGGCAAGAGCGCGATCGTGCGACGCGCCGCGGCCGCCTAGACACAGTCGACCACCGTAGCACCACGAAGGTTGGCATACCGAGATGGTCGTGAGGTAGCGGAGGAGGCGCGCGGCGCGGCGAAGGTACTGCCCGGCCTCCATCCAGCGCATGTCATGGACAGGCGTCGACCGTGCATCGCGGTCTTCCACGCTCATGCACGAAAGAGAGACGGACTGGACGAGGCGGACGACGCCAAGCACCATGTACGAAGGCTTGAGTGTGTAGTGCGACGTGGGAAACTTGGCGTACGCGCAGAGAGCGGCGCCCATGGCCACGAGCTCAAACTCAAAGAGGTTGTGTGCAATCTCCACCATGCGTCGCTTCGAGTCGCAGAGAGCACGGTACGCACGCATGCGATGGCGGCCACGCTTGCCGCGGAACGTTTTTTGAATTTTGATGGCCGCCTTTTGCTGTTGCTGGAGCAAGCGCTCGAGACGCGTGGCGTTCCGCGCGAGGCGACCGCGTGCCGCACACTGGATACGAATCGCTGCCTTGTGTCGCACATAGAGCTAGCATCGACGGTAAGTCCACGCTGTCGGAGAAGCCAAGACATGCGTACGCGATGCACACGACGTCGTGCGAGGAAGCCGCGGACCCCCGCTTGGATGTACGTGCTGGCAATCGTGAACCGAATGCGGACAGTCTTGTACAGTTGGCGCGTGAGGATACCGCGGATGATGCGCTGGATGTGCGTCGCGGAGGCCACTTCGACGAGCTTGGTGCGCTCGAGTGCCAAAAGCGCTTCGTCCATGTGGCGGCGGCGAAGGAGCTCGGCTTGGCGCTGGTGCCTTGATGAGCAACGCCACGATCGCATGTGAGACTACCTGCTTCTCAGCCGCCGACTTTTGCGCCAACTTGAACGCTTCCATGGCCTGCTGTTTGCGCGATATCTCGGTCGCCTTGCGCGCAAAGAGGTCGACTTGGACTTGCAAATCGCGTCGGAGCATCTCGAGTGTTGGTGTTGGCAGTGACGTGGCCGACGTGTCCAGTGGGAGCGCCGCTTCTTCCGCAGCAATCGTGTCGCGGAGATGTGCAATGTGGTGCCTGCGACATTCGAAAGTATCAATTTATCAAGTGGAAACAAACAAATACGTACTCGAGCTGGGCGTTGACCACGCGAGCTTGCTCGAGGTCCTGCTCCATTCGAGCGCCACGCGAGCGTTGCATCGGGTACCGAATGCGGTTCTCCATAGCTACCCGTTAGAATGAGCGAATGGCAATTTAAAGGAGGGGCGGTGTACCGAGCTTTGTGGTCGGTGCGAGCATGCCAGCTTGCTTGAGCTTGGTCGTGTCGACCACTTGCGCGCTCGAGGGGACGGTCGTCGACTTGCGCAGCTACGTAATCGCTTGACTACAATCTAGAAAAGGCGTAGAGGTACTTCGGTGGGGCGTGGTCGCGGTGGGGCCTCGACAACCGGCTCGTGCACCTCGATGGTAGAAGCCTCCTGTAGCTCCCGCGTCGATGCTGCGTACGCGCGCTGGATAGCCACTGTCTTCATCTGCTGCTTGGCGACAGCCTCTGCGTTTCGAATTTGAGATCCAAAACACCATGATGGTGACATGTACCTGGCACGATGCGTCCGTAGAGGTCCCGTGCATACCGGCCGCAGAGCTCTTCCTCGGCCAAGACGACCTTTTCAGCTGCCCGGATGCGCAAGACGTCGAGGTTGCCGATCTGGCTCGGCAACACATACGTGGCCCGCGACCGCACGGACGGTGTGCTACTGGCATTGGCGTCGGCGCTCGTGAGCTGGCGCGGCACGAGCTCTTCGTCGTTGATGATGCGCGTCTCGTACGCCGATCGAAGCTTGGGCTGGCGCGCGGCTTGGGCTTGGGGCGAGCGCAACGGGCGCAGAGGAGACACTGGGACCCCACCGACCTCTAAGAACGTGTCGACGGCGCCAACATTGGTCGTTGGAGGGGTGAACGGTGTGGCGTCGTCGCTGCGCTTGTCGAGGTTGTCGGGCATAATGAACGGGTTTCGCTCCATGGAAAAGCCGAGCCAGCGTACCATGACGTCGCACTAGAACACTCATTGTAGCCATGCGAGGTGGTGCATCTGGCTCGCAACCTGCTGAAGAAAATTCAAATCCGAGGGCAACTTGAGAAGGTAGTTGATCCCGTTCCACTTGAACGGAAGGTTCTTTTGCTGCTGCTTGCGCCACTGCAATATCGCCTCGACGACTTCGACTGTCGTGATGCGAAGCAGGTCGAGGGTGTTGGCCATCGCTCCGACGAGCGCGTGCGGGGCGTCGCTCTGACTCATCTCGAGAAGCCGTGCCACATAGTCTTCGCGGAGAATGATGGCCTTTAAGATCTCGAGCTCCTAATGAGCGTAGTCGGCATGACATTCTGGCGGCAAGGAGGCGCATACCATGCCGCTGTTGCCCCCCGGCATGTCGGCCTCGAACGTGATGCTGCCCATGTGGGCAGGCATCTTGGCCGCGACGTCTACCTTGCGCTTCTACGCCAAGTCAGCCTCAACCGCACATGAGCATGCGTCGACCTCGCCCATGGGCATGACGGTAGCAGGCAACTCGGTGCGCGGCCGTACATGCTTGCGGGGCTTTGGCCTACACAGCATGCTGCATATGGTCGGGATCACGAGAAGGGCGCGCGTACGATGGAAGCGTCGTCGCGTCCTTGGGCGGCCGGGTCTTGGGCTTGTCCTTCTCGAGCTGGTTGGGCGGCTTCGGGTCGGTCCCGCGTGGCATCGACCTCGCGTCGATGGCCCAAGCGTTACCCGAGAAACTGCCACTGTTTGCCCTTTATAACACCTCCCGCGCTGTGATTGGCCATTTTGGATCGGCTTTGGATTGGCCAAAATACGAACACCAAATCTGAGCATCCGCCACCTCAGCCACCTCAGCACCGATCGTCATCGCCAGTCGACGGATAACGTCCAAGTAGCTGCCAGGCTTTATATGCGTTGACGCTGGCTCTGGCGGTGGTAACCACTGGTAGCTCAAGCGCTCCACACTCTGACCATACCCAACCACCGCCATCCGCCAAGACGGATGCCGTATC